AGAGAGATAGATAGAGAGATAGATAGAGAGATAGATAGAGAGATAGAGAGATATGGGCTAATGATCAGTGGTTGATTTCCTTACTGTATACTGTATAATATGGCAGAAGATGAACTTTAAACATTTTAAAAATGTTGAGTAAACAAATAGGATTTTGCAAATATTACTTGCAATTATATATTGAAATTGTTTCTTGGACTTACAGTTTCCTCTCTTTCGACGATAAAGAAACAGGACGAACACACCAGCAATGATGACGACAATGAGAATTGGTAACCGAATAGCAATCACAGGGATATGGACAGGGACATGGATACGAGCTGTAAAACAAAATCAGATGAGAAGAGTCGGCCTGATTTAAGTCATGCAACATAGTTGAGAATGTGTCACTGTAGCATCACATGTTCCCAGCCCGTGCTCTGGACAGACTGCAGTGTTATCATACAAATGTCTCGGTAACCTGATCTGTAGTAAGAAATCATTTGATTTATTTAATTAAAACAGTCACAATTTAACACTACCAACCTTCCAAAAGTCCCTGAATCAGCTAATTTAAATACCACCTGCTTCTCAGTGTTACAAGATCAACCTGGTGATATTCCACTGACCGTTTTGGCTTAATAACCTATACTAGCTATTCATGATAGCCGCTAGATCAGGGTTTGGTTTTGTTTGGGGGGGGGGGGTACTAGGTTTCACTTGAAATAACGTCAATTTAAAAAAAAAATTAATGAAAGTGTAAAACTGACTTTAAACCCATTAAAACGAACACGCAAGTTGTTTTTCCTGCACTTCACAACAACGCTTCACAGAATTTAAAAGTAAAAAATGGGAATCTTTAGATATTAACAAGATTTGTACTGCAAAAGTTTTTTCAGTGCTGAAATCCTACACCCCACACTCCCATGAAATACTAGTTCAACCATATTTGTAACAAACCCAATGTATTAATGTACAGCGGAAAACAACTGAAGTTATTCACTTGGAAGTGTAAAAGATTTCTTTAAAACATAAAAACAACAACAGCATTATTATCAGGAAGTCTTCTTGTCTTTCAGTCTTACCACCATATTGGGGGCAAGGTTTTTCAATCCTTTTAAAGACTTGGGTCCAGTTGAAGTGGTTGCTGTGGTTACAGATGATGGAGCTATTCAACAGGTAGACGTGGAGAGAAGCACCAGAGGTTGTGAGCTCTGATTTCTCTCCTCCATCCTGACTGCAGGTTCGGTTGACGCATCTAAAAGTGCTGTTGATGTGAGAGTGCTGTGTACTGCAGGTCACAGTGAGGTTACAGGAGTCTGAGCCATTGGAGAACATTGGGTCCACTGTCAGGTTAACTGGAGACACTGGACCTGAGGGGGGGGAAGGTTTCTGTGAAGAAGTTATGAAACATGGCAGCAGAAACTCTCTGTCAGTGTCTGACATGTGAACAAACTCACCTTGAACTGTGACCTTGTATTCAGCTGGTGGTTGGTTTCCTTCAAACCCTATCACTTCTGCAGTATAAACTCCACTGTCTGCCTCTTGTAGATTCTTCAATATCACAGAGAACTTTTTCACAGTAAACTCAATCCTTCCAGTTAAATCAGGATGTACTAAATGTTTTCCATCAGGTGCAAATCTTACTACGACCGTCTTATTGAATTTCCAGAAAACATTTAAAAAATCCTGAGGAACATCAGCATCAACATTCAGAATCAGATCACGTCCCTTCTGCACAAACACAGTAGTCACAGCACTGGGCCCTGTAAAAACAGTAGACACATAATACAATAAACATCACACTCAATATATGATTAATGGGTCAACACTGCATGTTACTCCATCTCTACTTCTTACACATTGAACCATCAGTTTAAACACCTTCAGCTTATCATTGATTGGAAGAGTTCTCTTAACATGTCTGACATCAGCTTTGTCTTGTGACACAGACTGCTTCAGGAAAGAAGAGTTTAACAGGTGAAACTAAGCCCACTGAGAGCAAGATGTCGCTCAAAGCTTTTATTTTTAACATGACAAAGTTTATTTCCATTCTATCTCTTATGAAAAACAGAGGACTTTATTTCACCTTGTTCTCTTTCCCCTCCCTCTTACCCAAAGTATTGTTCCTCCAGCTTTAGACAGGCCATTGATGCATTTAGTAAATCAGACAGTGAGCAGTTATTTCCACAGACTTACTGAGGGAGTTACACTACGGGAGGAGTAGAGTTTCCGTATGTGTCTTGGAGGGACGGATGTATTTACTCCTTTTGAACATGCGGCTATAATGCGTCTCAAACCACCTTGAAGGCTTTCCTCTGTATCACAGACGTCTTCTATTGTAACGGTTATAATATGAATATAAATTCAAGGCAGAAATGATAGAAAACGTCTAAATGAAAACTAAAAAGGACTTAAAGAAAGCATTCCTTCAACAAGGAGCAAAATCCTCTAAATATGTCACTTAAATAACACAAAAGGTTTTACAATGTTTACAATCTGTGTCTGGATCCAGATCTTCATCAAAATATGGATAATATTGAATAATCTTGTTGACGAGCTGAGGGCAATGATATTTGATTTCTTGTTCAAAGCTCTGATACTGTTCACTGAGACAGTATCAGAGCTTTGAACGAGAATGAACTACACATCATCATACTGCTGTGTGTTGTCTTCTTTAAACTGAAGATATATATATATATATATATATATATATATATATATATATATAGATATAATAATAATAATATCCAGATTAACCAGAAAGAAACACAGCTCTATTGTTTTGTGACGCCTGGGTAAGGGAAGTGGTATTAACTGACATAACTGTAAATCTCAATGTATCTCAATAAAAGATTTTATTAGCATCACTATTGAAATAATTGACAATGAACATATCGCTGAGAATTGTAGACATTTCTCTAAGTTAGATAGTTCAAAAATAAGTCCGTAAAGTTTATTATCTAACTTCTATTGGTGAAATAGGGCTACGGTACAAAAGCTTTGACTTTTAAGATAAATACAAAGACGATCAACAACCGAAAATACATGTAAAATAAAGTTCTTACCTTGTGCTTCACATGAATTCAGCAGAGAAACGGCAAAGAGAAGTGCGACCAGAGGCCTCATTCTGCCAAATGTGCTGCATGAGGAAGTGGGAAGGCTATTTTTGAACCGTGCGCAACAACAATTTAACTTCCGGACAATCAACTTTGACAAGTTCTAATGAAACAAGAGTTCCAAATAATCCTATTTCTTCAAAATAAATTATTTAAATTCTTCGAACAACACAAATAAACATCATGTATGTGTCCATATGGTTGCCACAGCTCTCCTATTTTATCAATCTAACATCCGTCAGCTTCGACGTCTTCTCCGTCCTCCTCTACTGTACAAGTCAGGAAACAAAATACTGCCTTTAATAACTCAAAATCATCTTTATTAAACCAGAGATTTGTCTCATTTGATCTCTCCATCTGCACTTTAAACACTATTAACATTCCAGAGCTTGATGTTAATTCAATAAAAGGTTACAAATACATTTCCAACATATTTAAATCCATCATACTCGTCCTTGCTTCATCATTGTCACACATTTCCATCAGATTATAATCAATATCAGAGACAAGATTACTTTCACATTCTCAGCACTCACCTCTGATGGTCCTTCTCATGTCCTCGACTGAAGAATAAAAGGGGCTTCGACAAAATATTCGTTGTTAGTTAAATGTTAGTAACTTGAAAATGATGTGGACGCACAGAAGGCTCCCACTTTACACAGAAAGGAGAGCTTCTACAGTAACATGTGCAACCCACAATAACAGGATGGGCATTTATATTAAGGTCGCAGCTGTTTGTGATTCAACATTTTCTCGTTTGTTTAAAGCCACTGAGACAAAGAAACTGAAAATCCAATTAGCTTTGTAGGAAGGAAGCGTCTGTTTAAAAGTACACGACTGCTTCGAATTCAATGATATTTAATGTGTAAGTGTTTTTAGTAGTATCAAAAAAAACACATCTTCCTATGACAAGGACCCAAGTTAGGCAGATAACCCTCCTAAGGTGCAAATGTGCATCATGTTCTTACATAAAGTGCCAACTGTCTGTCAATAACAGACAAGAAGTAATGCCCACACCACCAACAGACTCAGTAGAGGCCAGAGAGCACCATCAACACAATATATTCAATCTGAAGTGACTGCATTCCAGTTGTAGTTCTACATTAGTTTAACAGAAAGTGCTTCACCTAACATTTTAAAGTGCATTGCCATGTGCAATACATATAATGGTCATTTTCTCTATGTGTCTTTAACTCGAGGTCTTCCATTGTTGGAAAACAGGAAATGTAATAATATCATGAGAGTGTTGTGGGGATCTTGTGAGTTGTGTAAGAACTGTCTTAGGATCACTTATTGGTGTTTTTATAGAATAAACAGCAAACCGAGATTGAACTCAAAATCATAAGATTATTATATTTGTGTAGAGCAATACGCAAGTGTGTGTATTAATCATGATTATTATAAAGGAAGTATTGTAGGTTCTACCCCGTCTGTGAGTATATCCTGCCCTCCTTATGACTTAACACAAGTTGTTCTCTTTGTAATTTGACACGAAGTAAGAAGTAAGAAGGGGAGGACCCAAACACGACAACTGCCCTTCATCACACTTTTGGCCCAATATGCTGGTAAGACTGAAAGACAAGAAGACTTCCTGATAACAGTTTAGATTTTAAGACTTGGAGCCTGTTAGCATTTCTGTTTGTTAAAGAAAATGATTGTGTGTGTTTAAAATGAATTAGTTCTGAACATGTCTGAAGCACCTTGTGAGGCTGCAGGGTGAAATACAAACTCAACTAGAAAACACAAACAATGTTATTTACAGGAACACTAAATGTCATAAATAATTCAATAATTCATTTACATGTTTGGTGTAGAAACTGATATTTTTCTCCATTTCTGCATTTTTCAGTACAGAACATATAAGCAGCACTTGAACGTGATTGTTTCAATCAACACACTTCAGCTAAGCTGAAGAATAAAATAAACAATGAATCAACATAAAACTATGATGCTGTTTTACAATGCACAACGCTGTTTGTAAAACTTAACTGCACTTTGCACTTTTGAAATGTAGGAATTACAGTATTTGAGTAAACTACAAAGTACACAAAATGCTATCTTTACTGATTTGTTCCTGTCGTGCTGTAGCGTCACAGTCTGAATCTGTTGTCAGATTTGTAATGAAGCACCTGTTTTGTTGTGTTTCAGGTTCAGAGGGTTCCTCTGCTGGTACATCTGTGTGCCTGGTGAAGATGGTCGTGTTCTCTGTGGGTCTGATCATCATGGTGTCTGCCGTCATCACTGTTCACCTCATGGAGAAGTTCAAGAAGCACAAATAACCAAACAGTTCTCTGTCAGCCAATCATACGCTCTTATCCTTAAAGGTTCCCCTGTGGAGTCTGTGATCACTGCTGGCACTAGAGAGCAGTGTTTTTTGTGTCCCTATTTTGTTTGTGCGAGCCCTCTAGTACACATTCCTGCCACTGATCTCATGCTATACCACTGATCCACAGCTGGTGGCAGTAACTCACCAGGAAAAGACAAAGAGGTAGAAGACTGAACGCCAGCAAACATGGACGTAAACAATTTAGGATTTAAAGTATTTATAAAATCAGCTTTGTAAATGTTTCATGGTGAGAAATGTTCTTAAAACGTGGACTCAATGATGCATTTTGACGAGAAAAACTTCACGTAAACATTGTTTCTTCACAAGAAAACTGCAGAGGTCACCTAAAAAACTAATGCTGATAGTTCTTGATTATCATTGATAACAAATATCACTGTTTACACTTTGTACATAAAATGATTGCACAGAGATGACCATGTAAACATGTTTTTGGAGGATTTCATCTTGAAAAAACAAAAAAAAAGTAACTTTCTATTTATGATCAAGACCAACAATATACAAGAAATAGCCTTAATGAATAAACTGTATATAATGCATAGTTGTCTGTTTATAAGTACAGTATGTTTAAATTTTTGTTTCAGCATGTTTTAATCTTTGGGTGAAGCAGTTTCTGCTCCATGCACCATTATTGGAAACTTGTTAAAGATTCATACTTATCTTGTATTTTTGTGATTAATGGACCCCTAAAGGTGACACTGACCTCCTCTGGTATATTGTGAGTTTTCAGCAAGGACTCAATCAGTGTTATTGTTATAGTAAACACACCTGACACACTGAATTCATGACAACGTATAGTATAGAAAAATAAAGCATTTAATAACAATCAAGCTTTTTTTCTCTGTTCTTCATGTACAGCACAGCTAAAAACTTTGCACATTGATCTTAAATGTATTAAGATTTAATTACTAATACTTTGAATTGTGATGCTAGAAAAAGCAACTTCTGAACGTACGTGATGCTTCGTAACATTTCCACATTGTTTTGCAGCAGATTTTTGTATTGGAGAATCGTTCCATATCAGAGCGGGTGACATAAACTTAAACATCGAAAGCTTTGGCAACACTTAAATACAACTAGAAACTTCAGTAATTGCAGTATGTGGAACACAATTCCTCGCTAATTGTTGAAGGACCTGGCCGGCTTCTCCACCTGAGCATACAGGCTCTCTGGCAGAGTCGTGCCTCCAGTCTCAGTGGGTACCAGGGATCCAGCGTGAGGACCCACCAAGCTGTAGGTGGAGGTCGGAGAAAGACCTAAAGCATCATCTGTTGGACTCTGATCCAGAGATTGGACCTGGAAAATAAATCACATAAATCTTTAGCAAACGCTGCCTGCCATTTTTAACTTAATTTTCAATGGTGCTATTTTTAACGTGGGAAGTAATCTCCCGACGGTTAACAGACGTTCATATAAATACAGAGTTCTGATTCTTTGTCTTCAAAAACGATGAGTCTGTTTTTCATAAGATTATAATGAGTTTGTATCTAAAATGCATGAAACTGCTACAAAACAAAGAGCTGAATTCTAAGGAATCTCTTGGCCGAGAGAGCACATCACACTGCAGCTTAAACACAAGCACATAAACAAAGCTTTGACAACACATGAAGTACGTTAGAGAAAGACACTGCAAATTATAGTTTTTCTGCGTCTCTCGACTTGTTCCAAGACTGAAAATGAGGTTTGCAAAACAACTAACACGCGTGCAGACAATGAGAGCAGATCTCACCTGAGAGTCTTCTGGTCATTGTTCATTGTGTAAGAAAATGCAGAAGTACAAAAACATCGGCTC